ATATATATATATATGTGTGTATATATATATATGTATATATATATATATATATATATATATATGTATATATATATATGTATATATATATATATATGTATGTATACATATATTCTTGTGAATAATTTTTATATTTATCTATATATATATATATATATATATATATATATATATATATATATATATATATATATATATATATATATATATATATATATATATATATAATAAATAAATAAAATAAAATAAAAAAACACAATATTACCAAAGTATCATTCTAAACCAATACAATAAAATGCATAAATAAATAAATAAATAAATAAACACATAAATAAATAAATAAATAAATAAATACATTGATTAATTAATGCTTAAATAAATGCATCTAATAAAAAATTAATACATAAATGCAAAAACAAATGTAAAAATAAAAAAATAAAAACTAAATGCATAAATAAATGAATAAATAAACGCAAAACTAAATGCATAAATAAATAAATGCATAAATAAATGAATAAATAAACGCAAAACTAAATGCATAAATAAATAAATGCATAAATAAATGAATAAATAAACGCATGAATAAAAGCATAAATAAATGCATAAATAAATAAATGAAAACATAAACAAATATATAATTAAATAAATAAAGGCATAAATAAATAAGTGAATGCATAACTAAATAAATAAATATAGGCATAAATAAATGCAAAAATTTATTAATTAATGCCTAAATAAATGCATATAATAAATAAATGAATGAATAAATAAATGCATTAATAAATGAACAAATGCTCAAATAAATGAATAAATAAATGCATACATAAAACATTTATAAATCAATAAATCAATTAATAAATAAATCAATAAATGAATGAATGAATAAATAAATAAATAAATAAATAAATAAATAAATAAAGAAAGAAAGAAATAAATAAATAAATAAATCTACATCTTGCAAAAAAATGCAAATAAATCTAATCAGAGTTGGACATAAAGAGAGGGTGTTTGGGTTAACATAAAATCAACTTTTCACTTTCTCATTGCATAAATATGCAGCTGATTTATGTGCAGCTTATGAAATGTGTATATAAATATTTGGTTTTTGGGTTTGTATTAATGAAAAAAATAATAATTAAGCTGCTTTAATGTGCTCTTCTTGGATACTAAATTATTGAAATGCACCAAGATTGAAATATTCAGTGCTGATTTACACTGCCATCTATAGTCTCCTACAGTGTAATGCAAATGATACATACATTACATTTCACATGACACATTTCACAATCACAGTCTGTTTCTTTTGCTATGAAAAGTCAAATCATACTTCATTTTTATGAAATGCATCTATTATTATTATTATTAATATTATTATTATTTATTATTATTATTATTACTATTATTTATTTATTATTTATTTATTACTATTATTATTACTACATTACTATTTCAATTTATTTTCATTTATTTTTTAATAATTATATATTCACATTCTACATCACATCTGATTGCTTTTATATGTCCTACACAACAGCTGGTTTGTTCTTCTTAAAGGGCCAGTTCATCTAAATAGTAAAAATATGATGCAAAATGATTGGCCACTTCTACTAATTAATGAAATCTGAATATCCCTTGTCAAACCTAAATATATATGAACAGCACACGCTCTCATGTTTTTCCATCCAAATCCAAGCACAAGTTGTGGCTTCAGGCGGAAGAGAATAAATACACACGTGTGATTAAAATGCATGAGTCTGGTCTCTCTGGTGGAGCACAAACAGGTATTAACTCAGTCTGAGGTCCAACGGCACATCTGAGACGCATGCAAATAAACAGCCAGAGAATATAAATCAGAGGAAGAACAACAAGAGGAAAAACAACTCATGTAAAACACTGACTCTAGGAAACCTTCTGCTGACCACATCTAATCAAGAAGAAAATACTGTAATGCACTCATGTTGGACACATAATGTTATTCTTATTAATATTTCTCTTTTTTAATGCTTTTATTTAGTCAGAATTGTCTATGTCCAGAAGTAAACCATTAGACAGAAACATGAAATGACAAAATGCAAAACAAAATAAAAACATTATATTTATAATAAATGAATTTTACATTCGTATTATTATTGGTTATATTTAATTCATGATGTATTATTATTAGTAGTAGTAGTAGTATTGTTAATAATAATAATAATAACATTTTATAAATATTATTATTATATTTTTATATTCTTATTTTTCAATATGGGGTGATTATAGAATTGTGGGTACATTTTGTATTTTCAAGATAAACCTCATATTATTTTTTTTATGAAACAATTTTGATTAATAACAAATTACATCAAGTAAATATACACTAACCGGCCACTTTATTAGGCACACCTGTCGAACTGACATGGCAGCAACTCAATGCTTTTAGGCATGTAGACATGGTCAAGACAATCTGCTGCAAAATGGGGAAGAAAGGTGATTTAAGTGACTTTGAATGTGGCAGGGTTTTTGGTGCCAGACGGGCTGGTCTGAGTATTTCAGAAACTGCTGATCTACTGGGATTTATACGCAAAACCATCTCTAGGGTTTACAGAGAATGGTCTGAAAAAGAGGAAATATCCAGTGAGCGGCAGTTCTGTGGTTGCAAATGCCTTGTTGATGCCAGAGGACAGAGGAGAATGGCCAGACTGGTTCCAGCTGATAGAAAGGCAACAGTTGCTCA